ACCCGTTTTTGGTGTCTATTTTAGCGCAGATGTGAACGCGCGAGACAATTTCTGGTGGTCACCTCTGCACCACGCCTCTCACTCTGGTATGGTGGATGTGGTGGAGTTGCTTCTCGGGCAGGGCGCTGAAATCGACGCCCGGGCTCTCAATGGGGCAACACCCCTGTTCCGTGCAATTGAAACCTCGCGTGCAGCAGTCGTCAACTTGCTCATTACTAAGGGCGCAAGTATAACTCTCGAAACGACACAAGGTGTGTTGACTAAACCCCCTCTCCATGCGCCTAAAAAATTCCTCCTCTTTTTAATTAAATATCAGCGTATAAATATGGATTGTAAGAGGCTCACTGATCTGGTTGAGGGACAAGAATGTCCCCTTGCGCCCTCGAACTCATTATAGAGCCCGCGTAGGCAATCGCATAGCAACTAGTGGGATATGTTGAAATGGATTGATTTGGCCTTTCTCTCCATCCAGGCGGCCTGCGTTTCCAGCGGAGACATCTGACGCAAGCCCATTCAACGGCAGAGTATTGCATAAACAGAAAGACACCAGCGACATAGACAAGGGAGACCAGAATGACCGTTTCTGGCACATCAACCATCATCAGTCAGTCACACTTAAATTCAGGTGAGGCAACAGCTGAGGCTCGAACCTGCGACCTGTTGGTTAGAAGTCCATCGCTCTAATTTCTGTGCCACGAGCTTGTTGTCCTCTGGATTTCGATAAGGAATAATAACATTGGAGGATGGCGGTCACCGGCCGGTCATAGGAGTCCTTCGTCCAGTTTTGCCTCGGGGCTCACTCTCGATCACCGCCAGTGGGCGCTCACCACCACCAGCGAAGAAAAGAACAGTATTTAACTCACCTGGTGGCCTTCTGTGAGATTATAGTTTGTATCCAATCTTGCAAATGACGGGACGATGATTCTTTCAGTCATCGACGTCGTAGTTTGGCCTGGTCACCAGCATATCCTGTCGATCTCTTCTTCAGAGAAGATTGTGGTCCTGAAGCTGCGTGCGTCGTGATCAGGAGTGCAACGTAGATGCACTTCCCCGTGTCAAGATGCAAAAGGTGTTGGTCAGTGTTACGTAAGCGGGACCCCCCA